TCTAATGTTGAAAGAATTCTCAAATTCAACTTCCCCTTTTTCATTGACTAAAAAAAAAAAAAAACAGGAAGCTAAAGTTATGGAAGCCTAATTGAGGTGATATATACCTGACCTCTTCTAACATTAGGGAGAGAAACATTACTAACTAATATATGAGTTATTTAATATTATCCTTTATGTAGCATTGGTTAGTCTAAATATCGAAAAGACTTCATTCATAATCACCCCCTAGGCTGTCAACCTGTATTGAGTCGTCGCTGTTGCCGACATGGTTGATCAATTATTAGTTTCTTACTTAACTATTTTGAAGGTCAGCTTGCAATTGCTTTTCCCTTGAATTACTGTAATTAATCATGCGATTTGACTTCAATATAAAGTGGCATTCATCATAGTAGCAAAACGAACATCTCTGTGATTTGGTCTTTATAAATTTTTGGTTTGAATTTTTCTTTTAAATTGTTTCTGATTCGACTCAACTGCAGGGTTAACAAATTGTAGATTGCCACCTACATGGAATTCGATCATGACTACTTAATGTGATTAGTGGAACTGGGTTTTGGATTCCAGCTCTCACTTGGAAGTTGACATTTTTCTGATCGCCAAGAACAAAGTGTGACATTTTTTGAGCTCAGACAAGGACTTATTTATCACAAACAATAATACAATGCAAATATTAATTTATTTTTTTAAAAGTACAAAACAGGTGTCAAATGGGTTAGGCTGGCTCAGCACGGCACGAGTTTAGTCATTTTAAGTAAAGCACGGCACGGCAAAATCCAAGCACGTTTATTGATGGACTGTGACAATCAAAAAATCAAGTCCAGTGAATCGGACCGGCATTTAATTCTTTTTTATATATTTTTAATTTTTTCAAGACCATTTAACATAATACCAATTTGGGGATCTCGAGTCTCTATATTTAGAGTTTTCACATTTACTCGCATTTCAAAAAATCTTGACCATCCTAATAATCTAACCGTTTAAAATAAGACACATTATCAAATCTTAAATAAATTAATTAAAAAAATCTTCAAATATTTAAAATTTAAATTTAAAACTAAAAAAAATAAGAATAATCTAAAAATTAAAAAACCAGAGATGCAACTTCCCCTCCCCACCCCTATCCCCGCCCCCCCTACCAACCCCAACACATCAAATCAGACATAACATCCACCATTCACCATTTCTCTCTCTCTATATTGCTCGCAATCCCTTTCCCCTTTTGATACCCCTCACCTTTCATGAAGAAACCTATATCCCTCCCCCGTCACTTTTCCTGAAAAGGGCGGAGTGGATTTTTTATATTTGTTTATGTTTTATTGTTTAAACAATTAAATAATTATTAACTTTAAATAATTTTCTGATGAAAAGGAAAATTAAATACTTTTGTTTTTGTCATGTCTTTAAACAGTTAGATTATTAGAATGATGAAGATTTTGCGAAATGCGAATAAATACGTAAACTGTAAATACAGAAGCTCGAGATCCTCAATTTATTATTACCAAAATGTCTCCTCCCTTTCTCGATACATGTGCAAGTATCAAAAACAAAGAAACAAATAACTCCACCTTTCTCTAGGTACTAACTCTTTTTCTCTCCCTTAATTTTCCATTGGGTTCTAAGTACTGCTCAAAGAGGTACTTTGTGCTTTTTGCCTTTTATTCTTTTTTTCGAAAGCTACTATTTTGTAAATGTTAAGAATATATCAAATTAGAATTTAGAAATATGTGGCATTCATGTGTGTAGAAGAAGGTTCAATCGGCAATCGCCATGCATGCAGATGTGTCTAGTGCCACCAATCACTTGCTAATCCAGAAATTTAGTGTTCGAAGCAAAGCACAATTCTATTGGCTAGTAAACACCTATGGCTTTTTTACGTGTGAGGTAATAAAATCCACTATAGTGGCTTCCAATTATGAACCTTTTGAAAAGCTTTTTTTTTCTTTCCTTAATTTTTAAAAAAGTGTAGAGCCCAGTTTGACAAATAATTAGTAGCTAATTTAATTGCAGTCCTGGTTCAGATTTGTCCTCCTTCTAGAAGAAAGGTGGCTTTGAAATTATTTAACATATTTTTGCACTTTTGGTCTTCTAATTTTACCCAAGTGTAATTGATCTTTCATTGGAAATTACCGCATGGTAAAGTGATGTCTTTAATTTGCATGCTTGTCGTCTTTGAAAAATAGAATATATAATGAATGAAATCATTCCTACTGGGTTTTGCAAGTGGTTCAGTTGGGGATTCCAATATCGATATTACTAGTAGTGGGTCGTTGAACCGTCTCTATAAATTCTTAAAATATACTAGTTACTATTTTCTGAGAGAATTAATTAGAAAATAATTATATATGTTGCTTCCAAATTAAAGATGCTCTGATAAGTCAATGATATGTTGTTGCACCATTAATTTTTTTTTTCTCCACATGATTCACAGCTTTTCTTGACGCTACAAGGAATATATCAAATCGAAACTGCCAATTTAAGGCAAAAGAGCCTGAGTGACTTGAATTACAATCCATTTAAGTCTTTATGCCTTTAAATTATTGTAGGTTTATAAAATTAGAGAAAACCAATCCATTTTATCCACGCATGCAACATGTGATCTGAGGAGGCAAATTGCTTTCACTATATAGTTGGTTAAGTACTGAGAAATCAAAACCTGCAGAGTGGACACATATAATTGGTTATTCAAGATAAGGATTAGATTATATTGTTCATTTCTAGAGTGACTGCTCAACTGGAGCTCTCTTCCTTTGATCTTTAAATCTAACTAATTACTATGTAATCATGAAGCTTATTAGGGGTCTACATGTATATACGTATATACAAAAGTTTGTGAGACAGTTTGACAAACATAAACATGTTAGGGAGGCCTCTCACAAAATATATATATTTATGAATTCGTACTCGCAGTACATGCCAAAGTAACCAAGAGGACCAAAACATCATATATATATATATATATATGGGTAATTATCATTTTACTACTATGAAAGAAAGTTTAACAAACTTTAATTAAGAGCTAACCTAATTGAAACTTGATAATATATGGATAATAAGAGAAAAAACAATTGGTAGATTACATTTAAATTATTAGTTATCTTGATTCTTGTTTGAATGTGTGATTTAGATGAACAATCCAACAATATTAATATCTTAGGTTGCCAGAATATTTGGCAACAAATCTCTAGAATCTTAGCCTATATAAATACATAATAATTATATAACTTCTATTGAGGCATCACTCAAATAATATTTGAGGTTGTAGGATCCATTATGTATTGGAGTTTACTGATTTGAATCGACAATCTTTAAGTATTTTCTCAAATATCATTTTTATAAAAAATTACGTGAATCAAATATCATTTGATTGATTATATGTTCGTCTTACTAGTGTTTTAGGAGGCACGGTGTTTGTCTATATTTTCCTTGTCACAATTTGTAAACTAGTGTACGTAATGTTATTGGTTTTTGTCACTTCCAAAAATTTCAAGCACGTGTCACAATTAAATGTTTTAATAGTTTCCAATTTTCTGCAAGTATGATTTTTAAATGAAGACTTATGTGCCCCTCAAATAGACTTGAGGGATTGATCATAAGTTGACTAACCCTAAAATTTATGTTAATTTTTACCTACCTCTTGATCGGCATCATATTCATATGTGTGAATATGAAGCGGACTATATCAACCACATAATTGTTTTTTATATATTCCGAGTACACCACGTGGCTGGTGTACCATCCAATACACATAGGACATGTGGAAATATTTTACTTTTATATCCTATGTGTATTGTACAATATTTCCATATGTTCCATGTGTACTGGATGGTACACCAGTCACGTGGTGTACCCGGAACATATAAAAATTGCTTCGACCCCACCATATGATCTCGTATGCAGAGATAACTGTTCTTAAACGCTATCAGCTTCAAGCCTTGTATATATGTATATACATATTTTCTCTTATGCGGACGTTTGAACGTTGTTACAGTGTGGATGCCATATTTTCTTCTATATTTACAATAGTATCCGCACAGTAATAATGTGATGTCCGAAAGAGATGTGTCCGATTAGTTACGGAACCCAATTGGAAATACTTTTTTAAGGCAAAACGAATCTTATAATTATACAAGTCAAATTTAAATCAAAACAATCTAAAGGAAATTACTCTGATGCATGGTATGTATGCAAGTTATATATTATATATATAATTTTTTTTTAGCGATGCATGAAAGCTCCAAACCACTTATTTTGTCACCTTTCCCAGACTAGAATAATTTAAGGATAAAATTCCACATACTGGAGTCTTTTCTACTTTTTATATTTCAATTCATGTATACAAACACATGAAACTTAAACATGTGGATATGTCATGGCCAATCAGCATTCAAGCTGAATGAACTGGACCAATCAATACACAGAATGAATTATCTTATTCTTTATCTTCAACTACACGTGTAGAGAGAGAGAGAGAGAGATTATGTGAAGTGGAAGCAAATTTACATGTTGGCTTGGTTCAATAAAAGAAAAGGAAAAGGAAAGAACTTTATATTTATATTTATTTCATGCTCTATATGATTCATATAATATGATCATTACCTTGAGAATGAAGAAAATGGGTATAGAAAACAGACAAAGGTCATGGAGTCAAAGACAAGACGACCAACTATCTCTCTCATAGCAGGTCCCTCTCCAAACCGTTTTCTACTCAGACCCATCAACCAACCTCTCTCTCACACATACACACACACACACACACACACACACTCTCTCTCTCTCTCTTCCCTATATTGTAAGCAAACCCCACAACCATCACCATCATCATCACCATCATCATTCCCCCCATATGAAGCCTTCTGTCTCTCTTTTCTCTCTATAAAGTCATCACAGATTTACATCAAACCAGTTGGGAGAGAATAAGACATCAAAAATATTAATTGGCTCATCAGAGAAGCCAACCTCTCTTTCTCTCTTTCTCTCTCTCTCTCTCTCTCTCTCATCACAATGAGGAAGCCAGAGCCCTCAGCAGCAGCGGCAAAGAACAACAACAATAATTCCAACAACACCAGTAAGCTGAGAAAGGGTTTGTGGTCACCAGAAGAGGATGACAAGCTGATGAGCTACATGATCAACAATGGCCAAGGCTGCTGGAGCGATGTAGCCAGAAATGCTGGCCTGCAGAGGTGTGGCAAGAGTTGCAGGCTGCGTTGGATCAACTACCTGAGGCCTGACTTGAAACGAGGCGCCTTTTCCCCCCAAGAAGAAGAACTCATCATCCATTTACATTCTCTCCTTGGAAACAGGTTTTGATTCATTTCCTACCCCTTTTACTTTTACGATCTGTTTGATTTTGAATTCATGCATAAATATATGATATGTTGCTTGGTGTCACTTTCCATAACACTTATGTATTATTGTGATTTTTTTTATTTTTTATATTTTTTTTATAATCTTTTTTTGGCAGCTGCATGTTGTTGTGGTTGTTGTGGTTGTTGAATTAACTAAAAATGTTCTTCTCCCTAAGACAAGCAAGAGAGTTTCAGCTGGAATAATCTCTACATTAAATCTTTTGTTTGAAAGAGTAAACATTAAGATTTAAGAAAAAATGACGTCATACAATAATGAGAAGGCTGATGTGACAAGTTTAATTAGGGAAGTTGTTGAAAATATATAAAAATTCCTATTTTAATAGTCATTGAAGTTTTGGAGTCTCTCCACTCCAATATTTCAACATGCTAGTAGAGCAAATTTTGACCACGGACATTCATAAACTGTACATATAACACATGTACATATCACCCAAATTTCGCTACATTGACTTGTAGAAAGGTGGTCAAAAAATACTTATGTCTCATATACTCCAACAAAAGTACCTTCGGATGACACATATTATACGGTTTTGCATGCTTTGCATCAATTAAACAAATACTCTTTACTTGTTCTTTCTTTATTCCGTTTTAATCTAATCTAAAATTATGGGGAGGGGAATTCGAACTTGGGTGTAGAGTGGGAAGCACATCCGATCTATCCAACTTAGCTAAGCCCATATATGTGCACTTTTTCATTGTTACTAATACGGATCATATACATAGATAACTACATCTACATGCATACACACATATGCATATGCCAAGCTTTACTTATGTCAAACTTTGACTATAATGGTAATATAGAAACTATTAATTTTTTGGAATATATGTAAGTTGAAAAGGATTGGTCTTATATGGCGTATATTATTCTGTTTGAGTTAAAGACACTCAATTCCCATATTGTTTTAAAATATTAGAGGCCATGCAAATTAACCATGTATTAATATATAACTCAGTTTGTCTTCTTCAATAGATTCCTACCTGCTCTGGGCAGCTGTGGTTAAATTAATAAAGAAACTTGTACCGCAATGTAATGTCTACATCTCTGCATCTCGAGTCGAAGACACTCAAAATCTTTTTGTGTTTTAAGTTAGGAAGGCATGCAAGTCATGCATTATTAGGCATCAAACCACTTTAGTTGAAACCGACTTTATTTATTTTTATTTGTTTGTTTGTTTGTATGTAGGTGGTCACAAATTGCAGCACGCTTGCCAGGGAGAACTGACAATGAAATAAAGAATTTCTGGAATTCAACAATAAAGAAAAGGCTAAAGAATTTGTCATCCTCTAATGCCTCACCGAACACAAGCGATTCATCCTCGGAGCCTAAAGATCATCATGCTATGCTGGCAGGAGGGTTCATTCCTGGCCAAGAACATGGCATGATGCCTCTTTACATGGATTCATCACCGTCGTTGATGCAGTCTACGGTCCTCAACCACATGTTCGATCCGTTGCCTATGCTCGATCACGCCAGCCTAACCTTGCCCGGCGGTGCAGGTGGATACTACAATGCCACCCCATGCACCACACAAATCAATGGAGTTGGAGGTGATTGCTGTTTTGGAGACAATGGAGTGTTTGGGGTTGGTGGGGGTGTTGACATTGGGGTAGAAGGAGAGATATTTGTTCCTGCCCTAGAGTGTGTGAGCACTGAAGATCAAAATCTTAAAACTGAACCCATCTATGATCATAGGAACACCACTAATGGCAATTACTACAATAATATAAATAGTATCACCAACACTAATTACAATAACAATATTAAAGTTGAGAATATTGGGGTGGGAAATTACTATGATGACCAGGAAGAGCTAACAATGGGGGAGTGGGACTTGGAGGATCTGATGAAGGATGTTTCTTCTGCCTCCTTTCCTTTTCTTGACCATCGAAGTTGAATCATTGCCTTCCAATATTTTCCAACGATCTTTTTTCTTTTCTATCTCTTTTTTCTTCACATACTTCTTGATTTATTTTCATTTTTCAAACATTTGAGATCCTCCTTTCGTTCCAGAAGACTTCCTAGTCATAGAATCAAGTAAAAAAAACAGTGTTTTCTTTCTACTTGTATTACAACCTGGTATAAGAAGACCTAGATGAAGTGGTGGGAATGGGGCTGAAATAAAGGTCACACTTGCGTATATATAAAGTGACCGGCTGGGGCAGTTTTGTATGGCGCTGAGAAGCTTCAATGGTGTCATACTTGTGAAGGAAGATGTGAATAGCTCATAAAGGTAGGGAGAGAGATACATGAAGATTAATTAATAATAATTAGTTGGTATATAACAGATATGAATTGTAGTTATTATGAGATATGTACAAAAAGAATGGCTGGTGGAATTTTGTTTTCAGTGGGAGATAAGTAGGTTGTACTACACATTTGATATAATAGACTTCTGTCCTCTCTCTCTCTCTCTCTCTCAATTATCTTTTTTGACAAATTTAAGCTATATATATTCTAAATCACTCGAATGTAGTGGGAGGGGATCAAATTCGATCGAGTGCAATGAGACAGGCACACTGCTTTAGCCAACGGGTAACGAAGTTATCACCGTTGATGAAAGAGTAATTAGTAAGCTCTAGCTCTCATTCTAGCATGGACTTTTTTCTTCCATTATTAAATTATATTAGTTAGTTAAGCTGTATGGTTGGGTTTCTTAAGAGCAATTATACATGTTTACCAAGATGCTATGGCTTCACATAATTACTGTACCTAAAAAACAATCAATGCAAAGATAAAATTTGGCCAACTTATTCCAAGAAGTGAATAGAAAGCAACTTTAATTTGGATTTGTGATGATGGCATATACTAATTTAGTTATGCAAAAAGAAAAAGACAAGGTGACCATTTTCACTTTGAATGACAGATGATGAGATGATGAGAGTGCTTCTTATAGCTATCATTTGCCTTTAGATTTTTAACGTACCATTCGCATAACTAACATGTGTTTGTTTTTGTATTCATTATCAGGAAGCTTTTATTTTCTTCAAAGTTGAGACTGACATATGTGTGACCGATGATTACGCCAAAGTTATTAATTTCATCTAACATGCTAAAAGATATCGAACTGTTGGACTTTATCTGCAGAAATTTATGTAATTAGTTGAGGCCAAAGATCTGTTTCCTTTTCTGTAACTAGTGTAGTGTTTGTAGTAATTGCTCTCTTAGAAAGGTTCTGAATTCAAGTCATAGCATTCGTGTAGTGTATATAAATTTAGTATGTTATCGCTTATCTTAATAGGAAATGTCTTTAAAAAAAAAAGAAGCTTAGAACGAGACAAAAACGAAAAAAGGAACCAAAAAAGAGAGATCATACTATCTCATAAAAAATAAAAATAAAAGCTATAATTCAATAGTCTATGGCCCAACCCAACCTTATTTTAGCATATCGACCCAAACCAACTTGATGGGTCACGATTACAGTCAACGTTAGTCTATGGACGAATACAATTTTTTGTTTTGGGCATGGGCCCTATCCAATCAGCATTAGTTAGTTAGTGAACTACGTACCTGTGTTATTCAACATTTTTCTTCTCCTTTTTGAAATTAGGGGGAAAATTTTGGCCATTGGAGGGATCTGGGATATTGCGTGTCATATTACGGTTTGAATTCTGGATTTGGGTATTTAAGAAATACAAGTTAAGGGCTTGTTTAATAACTATTTCAATTTTAGTTTTTAGTTTTCATTGTTAATTTTTTGTGCTAGAGTATAAAGGAAAAAGAGGGAGAATTGAAGTGAGAATTAGAGTGGAGATGAGATTGATAAGGAAGATGAGAGGGGAGGAGTACCAAAAGTGAAAACTAAAACTAAAAATTGAAATCTATTTGAAATTGTTTTCACTTTTGTTGATAACTCATATTATCACAAGTGACCCGAGCCCCTCAGAAGACAACTCCTGTATCGAGCCAAGAAAAGTGAGATCAGAATGAGAGAAGTGATTGGGTGTCGAGGAACGACCCGACCACTTTGTCACCCCTATCTTAGAGATGCATTAAATGAAACAACCTGGCAGACAGGAAAAGTCAGTCGATGTGCGTCCCATCCCTAGGCAAGTGTCGCTCTGCCTTTTAAATCTCTGAGAAAAGAAGTCGGTGACAAATAGGGAACATTTAATGTATCTCCCATCCTTGTTCTCCTGTCACCTCGCCACTTGACCTCTGTCATAAAATAAGGTGATCAGGAACAAAGCATTAATTACGATTCAAACTAAAGGAAGTAAAGAAAAGATTTATCCCATAAAAATATCTGGACCTCCCTCTCTCCCTCCTATAAATACCCCTCAATTATCTCCAGACAAAAATAATAAAATGACTCTACACAAAATATAAACCCTACTTCCATTCTCTCTAGCAAAGGTTAGTTTCTGACTTAACCATTGGAGAGGGTTAGACTGGAATCAACCCCAGTCCGCCCTAATTCTGATATCGTTCGAAGTGTGCAGATCTTCCTTTCGAAAATCATCCACACTCATGGGCCTTGCACGGGCCCAAGCCCCCCCAGATCAAGCCTAAGCTTTCCATACGAGAAGGATCCGCGGTATACATTTGGCGCCGTCTGTGGGAATTTACTTTATTTACGAACAGAAGCTACATTCCCTCTCCCATCTAAGCACCGACGCAAACGAAACCAAGTTATGTTGAGAAATCAACATCTCCAGAAGAAGGCCTTCACAAGCGCAGTTGGGAGGAATGCCCAAAGGCGAAGGAGAGAGAAGCTAATATCTGGCCACTTGAGAGGCCTAGAGGAAAAAATGAGCTGGATTCTAAGGGGTGTCAAGGGCGTGCAGAACCTTAGCAACAACCTTGCGCACAAAATGAAATATTGCAAGAGAGTCACGCTGAGCTGGCAGACCAGATGCACGCACAGCAAGAACCCGAGCCGACCAGCACCAAGGACACCGACGGAGTCTTAT